AGAACATTTGTCGGCGTTTCTGTTACTTGGGTTACAGCCACCAAACGACAGTGTAACAGAACATTTGTCGATGTTTCTGTTACTTGGGTTACAGCCACCAAACGACAGTGTAACAGAACATTTGTCGATGTTTCTGTTACTTGGGTTACAGTCACTAAACGACAGTGTAATAGAACATTTGTCGATGTTTCTGTTACTTGGGTTACAGCCACCAAACGACAGTGTAACAGAACATTTGTCGATGTTTCTGTTACTTGAGTTACAGTCACTAAACGACAGTGTAATAGAACATTTGTCGATGTTTCTGTTACTTGGGTTACAGCCACTAAACGACAGTGTAATAGATCATTTGTCGATGTTTCTGTTACTTGGGTTACAGCCACCAAATTATCTGTATATCTATTTGGGACCTGCAAATAGTATCTTTGTTCTAAATCCCATGTAAATTGGTCCAAATATGGCCAAGAAATTGACCAAAACCCCTAAAATTATGCTTTTGTGACCTTTTGACCATTTTCATATGACTAAAAATTGACATATCCAACAGCTTTTTACGTATATCTACGAGACCTGTAGAAAAGTCTACTTGTACCAAATCCACATAAGCCGAGTAATTGACCCCAGACCCAAAATTATGCTTTTACATGAGCCCTGAAACCCCTTAAAAAAAGACTCAAAGTAGGACAATCCAAATTTTTGTAAAGCAAATATGAAAATATATATTGTTATAAATATCATCGCACAGGAGCCCGAAATATACATTTTTGGTTTTTTGACTTTTCACCCCATTAAGGCCTAAATAAACAATAAATAAATGGAGTTTTGATGTATTGGAACAAGTTTCAAGTCAATCCGTCAAAGAATGACGTCGACTGAAAAGTGTTTGGAAGAAGAAGAAGAAAAAATACAATAGAAAATAGCATGTCTCTCTGCGGAAACATAATAAATAAACAATTCCTGTTAAGGTGTCTGTTAAATAGTGCGTCAGTTGTTGTATCAGTACCAGTCTTTTATTTTATGTGTTAAAACTTTTCAAATCATAAATTACATTCATGATCAAACTGCCAAGATAAAAGCATTTTTGTCCAGTTAAAAACTGCGAAAGATATGTATCGAAACTGACGTACTTCGAATATTGTGATGAAATTCGCAGGCTTTAGATAACGTTTATAGAATTACAGTACAACTTATAAGAATGTTAAAACAAAATCCAATTCTACGAATTTTTCTTACATTTAAAGTAAAATTTGTTTATCAAATACCAAGCAACCAAATATTCCAGGATGTTTTATTAAAATTACAATATTTCGCCATGACGGTTACGTCGAAGGATCGCTTATTTGTATTGTTACGTCTCTGGTCGTTAGTTAATTACTCGTAAAAATTCTTTCCGAAGAACTTCAGCAATACAAGTCCTTTCTTAAATAAAAATTAGTTTATTCTTTCTCAATACAACTTTGTCATACACAGAATTTCCACAGTCACGTTAACTTGAACACACGCTATAATTTACAACGAACGATCCACGCACTTTACTTACTACCGCGCTTGACTCAATTGTCCGTCTATATCTTCAATCTCTCTGTCTGCGATTCAGTTGTTGCCGTCACTTTATTTGCCGGCTTATATACTATAAGAGCACCATTCTAGCAATCGCTAGGACGTTCGACAAGTTCCTCGATCTTTCTAGATACTCATTACATGTTACCAACGTCACGTGACCTCCGCTGTCGTAACAGTGTATTTTAGAGCAAAGCCACATTCGGGTATCTACTGTGTCCACCGCGGGAAATCAAGCCTTCAATTTTAGAGTTGTAAGCCCGTAAACTTCACTTTGTCCTACAGGGAGCTTTCAGAGACTCATTTAGCATTTTAACTATTTCTATTAGTCTAAAGTTTACGTGAGAGTTATATGTAAAAATATGTTTAAAATGTTAAATTCAAGGCTATTTGTTTCACACTGTTCTTATTTTTATGTTTGTTTGTTTTTGTTTGTAATTAAGCACAAAGCTACACAATGGGCTATCTGTGCTCTGCTCACCACGGATATCGAAATCCGGATTCTAGCGGGGGAGCGTTTTTATTTTTATATTT